CTGCTAATTGTAAAGTGAGTGGCCAAAAGCATCCTGTGCACGTCGTCCGGCCTGTGTAATGATCCTTACAGTAAACACAGTAAACAGACAGGGCAAAGCCACGAGAGATGAGCCTCTGTTGTTTAGTCTTCGACTTACATTCAGGATGATAATAAGGGGAAGGATCAGAAGGGAGGGTATCCCCAAGGTGGTCCCTCCCTTTCTTCCTCCCCACTGCCTTGCCCCGCTCCCTCTGTCTCCCCCGCAGAGGGGCACTTTGAAAGGTCCTGAATAACAGGAAGTCGAGGGGCAGGAAGTTAAGTTTTGACTGCCCACGGCCTGTGGTAGGATACTGAGGCTAACTCTGCCTTGCACAGGAAGTGCAACTGTCACGGCTATGCTTAAGACTTTGGCTGCTGTCCATCACCTTCAAAGAAGTTGAAGCGCGCTTGCTGCGTATAGCTACATATGGTGGGTACGTCTTTAACACAAGCCACATAGGATGAATCTTCAAAATCTTCTTTGACAAATTCTTATTATATTATGACGTTTGAGATGTTGAGTGAAAAAAAAAGTTTGTAGTTTATAAGCTTCGTTACGGACTAACTGCATAGCGCTGGCCTCGTTTTTTGTTCATTAGGTACATCTCACAACAGAAATGTAATTTTATGTTACCTTTTATATAGGGCAGCAGATGAGAGAGTAATGGTTCAACTTTGTGTGGAATGAGCGCAGGCTTACAAGGAGGGAGGGAGGAGGCTGGATCCAGTAATTACACTGGGAATTGAGCATGTTTTATTGATTGTGAAAGGGCTAGACCTGTCACCAAGCCTCCCAGTGTCTCAGTGGTCCGTCTTAAGGGAGGAGGAGGAGGACTAGCATTCTTGTCAGTTGACCAGTGTCGCACCTCATCACAGAGGATCGCTGCGGCTCTGTTAATAAACAACTGCAATGCTTAGTCACTTGTATAGGCATGGCATATTCTAAAACTGCATGTTTGTTTAACAGCAGGTATAGTAGGGGATGCCATATTGACTTTATGTCAAACTGTGGCCGTTGCTACAGTGACATGTTCTCTTGCACATTGATTTATGTGTTACAAATGTTTGGTAAGCATCTTTCAGAAGTGCTGGATTGGTTTATATCAAAGTGGACCAGGTGTGTCACATCAAGGTCTTTGTAATGTAGTGTTGTTATACAATGTGCTGTTTTGTGTGCACCAACTAAAGCTTCTCCTAAATGCAAAATCATTTAGTATATGTGTGGCTTTTCATGAAAAAGCTCGAGGTAATGTTGGATTCACAGTAGATATGGTTTCTGTACGTGGAGGCAGCCATTCAGATATGTGGGTTTGTAGAAATGTTTCCTGCAGTGTCTTTATGAAACTGCAACATTACAATGCATCAACCTCATAATGACAGACAGCCAAGAAGAGCAAAAAATGTAATGCTGGAAAAACTAACACTAAAGCTAACATTAGTGAGCCGCATGAGTCATTTCTAGTTTTACAGAACTGGAAACCTTGCACTATCTTCCAATCAGATTATTGTGCAGCACATGCAGAAGGCAGAGAAGAATAAGTGGTAGTATTAAACATGCGATCTTCTAGCTGTAAATCAACAAAGCGGAATAAAAAAGTGTATTTAATATGGAACTTTGATGCTAATCCATTTACCTTGGTCACTATCAACACCGTTCATCCATTTCCATGCATCTTTGTGCAAACAAGGTGACTTCATCTTCTTCGTCTACTTTGCTACTATCCACAGAATGTTTTATAATTTACTGAGTGGAACCTTTTGCAGCTGGTAAAGGACCAATGTGTATTATTTAGTGGCCACTTGCAGTGAAGGTAAGAAAACAAAAACCCAGTTATCATTTTAAGGTAATTTTACACAAATTAAAACACTCAAATCGCTGCCAGTAGACTTCCACTAAATCACTCTGCTGGAAAGAAAGAGGTTTTACTGTTGACAGTGAGTTTACAGGAGACAGCTGCGTGACTATACTGTACATTTTTTCTAAGGTGGGCTCATAGCCTCATATGGTATCCTGGTTCTGGTTCAGTGCTTTTCTCCTTTTATGTTTATTGTCTATGTCTCTGTTTCCTACGCACATGCACACTCACTTGTACAAAGAGCACATGATTTAGGCCATAAACAGATACTCTGTCCCATTCCAACACTCACGAGAAGTTAAGGGTGTCACGCAGAAACACGCACTTTGCTACAGTGCAGACATTGTTCTACTTTGTAATCTGAACATCTTCTGACATGTTTATCCGGTTGGTAAGACCAGCTGAATTATCCCACTCACTTCAGGACGTTGAAATTGCGTTATTTATTCTACGCCAAAGTATATTGTGATAACCACAGTAACACATCAGTGATTGCTGTTGTTCAAGTCTTGAAAATAATGTTTTGTTATTCAAAATCTAAAGTGGCTAGCTAACTTGTGATGAATATGGACACTAAGTTTGGAGTGTGGCACACCTGCAGTCTGAAGGCTCTCACAGCTTGTCATGTCATATCTGTGGAAGATAAAATGTCACGACACAGCCTATTATGCCTCTAGACTTGAACTGTCCTCCGGTGACAGCTCCTCTGCAAAACGGGAGGAAAGAATGTGTACGCGCTGCTTATACTCGCATTACACTGAACCTATTCACATATGCACACACTGAAATAACAGGCCAGTGGTCAGTTCAGACTAGCCTTGGCAAGTGATTAGATAAAACATCTCAAAACTGACACCATATTCACTTGCACAGATAAAACTTAACAACAAACACAGAGGAAGAGCAAAATGCACCAGGGTGGTGAGTTTTTCTTTCAAGTTTTGAACTTGTTTGTTTGGTGTTGAACTTGAAAATCGCATTTATTTTACTTTAAAAGAAGTAAAGTCACTGAATTTGGCAGTGTAGCTACTGTATTGCTACAGTTGTCTCCCATACTAATATATTAAACTTCAGGGTGGCCAGTGTATTTCTTTAGTGGAATAGACACCCTTTGCCCAGGGCTCCCTTTAATTCAAACATTAGTTTGTGTGTAAAATGCTGAATGAACAAGAGCACTGTCATTCTCCCTGGCCTGTTGTGATGTGGTTTGGGGAAATTCTTTGTGGGGGTTCAGACAGTTTCTTTCCTGGCTCAGACAGCCACGCGTGGGAAGTTAGCAAGGTGATCTCAGTCAAGTTTGCCTACAGTGGAGCCCCGATTCAGACAGCCAGACACCATAATGCCAGTCCATCTGTAACCCATAATGACTGTGTGCCACTGCAACTGGTCATTTTCGTTTTCACTGCCAAATCGGCCCCTGGCTTCCTCACCTCGCAACTGCTGACTGCATCTAAAGGCCCGAGTTGTTAACCTTTCTACATTTGTACTCATGGGGGAAATATAGTTGTTTGGACATTTTCTATTTGCTGGGTGTAAGTGATGGATGTGCCTCCAGGGAGGGGGCTATATCTCTTCTTCCAGAGAAGTAGAGACAGGACAGAGTTAGATGTTCCTTGGGGAACACTGTGGTCTGAACCACTGGCCAGGTTACAAGCTCATATGGGAATATATTCCAAATTCTTTTTATCCCTCTGGCTTATCCTATAACCCTGGAGATTTCAACCACCCTATTGTAAGACCAAACTATGCTCTCCCTCTTCATCATCTTAACAGCAAAGCTGGCATCAGTGTAACCAAGCTCAGACCGTAAAAAAAATATTACTGGCTGAGGAAGGTACAGTTTTTTTTCAAATAAATCAATTTGTTTCAGGAAAAACTCTGCTATCAAAGCCAGTTACCAAAAACGTTAGTTATGCTATGTATTGCGCATCATTTAATCCCAGTCTGTCACTGGTGTCCCTTGATAACTTTTATGTAGCCAATATAAACGTTATGGGATAAAAAAGAAGAATGAACTACTGTACATTTCATTCTGTAAACCCAGAATTAGAGAAAGGGAGTGTCATGCATAGAGTTCAACTACTCTGTTAAAGCCGCCAAACCCAACCTGCTCCCTTTAGCATCGTGTATGCCTGCTTTTAACTGTGTGTGAGTAACAATCCAGATGGTCCCTCTCCTAAGAGGACACAGTGTCCATAATTTGCCTTCTCGGGACAGCATGATCTTCTTTTGAAAACTGGCTATGTGTACAGGTGGTGGGAGACTAAAAGTTTTTGTTTAATAAAAACCTTGCATTCTGTGTTAAATGTGTGAAATAGTGTTAAATGTAAGCATAAGACAAATGCTAACTTAAAGTAGGTGAGTATACTAAAAGTTTGGCATTTATAGAAATGCACTTCTTCACTTTCTTTGTGGAAGAATTTATACCTCTCCTCAAAGTCAAATGAACAACTAGTTTCTAGTTATCTTACCTAACTTATTACAAAGCCTGGAAATAGAGAAATGGTTAACCTGAATCTCTGTGAAGGGAACTAAATTTGCCTACAAGTTCAGAGCTCACTTAGTCACACCAGTTGAAACCAGTTGCCAGGCAACGACCAGAGACTCCAGGAAGGTAGTGCTCTCAGCCAAGAAATAACCAAGCAAATAACCCTTAATAAGATATTGAATTGTTTTTTTTCCCCTTGACTCTTAACTTTTTATAGACTTAGCACAGATTACTTGCTAATTGGTGTACTTCAGAGGTTCTGGGGGGGGGGGGTGTAGTTTGTCACCTTTGGACAAAAGTTTCCATTCACTTCTCTAACTTAAAACACCACCTGCTTTGGTATTAATTTTAACTTTTTCAGAAAAATATAAAACCTAACAAAATGTCAAACTGTTCTTTCAAAATATGAGCTTCTAATTGGAAAAAAACACAATAAATGTCAAGGAGACTTGCCTTTCAGTGATTTCAGCTGTGGAACAATTGAAGCAGTCAAAGAGATAACAGCACGCTATTCAGGTCTCATAGTTTCTGTATGTGCTTGAGTACAAAATGCAGAACCCTCTGGTACTTTGGGAGATGTTGTTGGGTGTCATATTAACTTTCAGTTTTTCTCTTTCTCTTTTGGTCCTCTTTCAGATCCTGGTGTGGTCTGCTGAAGAACAAAGAGTGTCTTGAGAAGTGTGAGAGCCAATATAAGAAGAGAGACTTTTCCACAATGTGCTAGGAGAGAGGAGGAAGAACGAGTGTTGTTATTCTGATATTGTTGAGGTGTCAGAGAACCAGGAAAGGAGACAGCCATGGGGCGAAAGAAGATACAGATCACGAGGATCATGGACGAAAGGAACAGGCAGGTGAGTGGGACAGAGATAACAGTTCATCTATATATCTATGTTTGTCTGTGTCTAATCTAAGACTGTTTTAAAAGATGCTTCTGTATCTTTACATGCTTCTCTGTATCTATCTGACGGTTACAGTTTTTCTCTGTTTTCCTTCTTGGAAAAGTTCAGCAGCTGTCATGGTGTGCAAAGATCTGAACAGACATACCTCCCTCCCCAAAGTCCCAGCCAGCTGAACAGGGACCATGACATTTCTTTGTCAGTGCGGTCGCATTTACAGACATGATTCCCTTGCCACCCTGCAATTTCAACCAGAGAAGTTGATGAGGCAGCAGCAGCTCTGGGCCGCAGCGGGGGCCTCATGGCGTGGGAGTGAACTGAGTGTTGCAAGAAGTGCAGCGGGCTGCCTGTGGCCTTCCCACACTGTAGGGCTTGTCCCCTGGCCCGGCAGTATGGCTGGGGCCCTTTGCTGTAGCCCTGTGTGTTTGCAGCTGTTTGGTAGTAATTAGGAGCAGCCACTGCACCACAGCACCCTCTCATTTGTAGGGTGGGTCAGAAGGACACACAGCACCCTTCTTTGCCTTGGCCTCGCTGGTCCCGACTAGCCACAAAGCGGGAAAGAGCTGGAATTCACTCTGTCTGCTCATGTTAAATATAAACTCCTAAACAGCAAAACAGTAAAAAACAGCCTGGGTCTGTTTGAAACATGAATAACAGGTGCAGATATCTATAGCAGAAATGGTATGTCTTATTTAGCTACGCTCCCTATGATTTAAGAGCTAAGTTAAGGAAGCATGTGCACTGTTTCTGACAAATTATACCAATTAATGCAGATACAGAGGTTTCCTGTATCTAGATAGAACGCATCTGGTTAACATCGGCTAAACATGATTAATTATGTGGTAATATGCAGTTGGTACTCTGACTATGTTTCTATCTGTGAGGGTAGCAGTTCAGTCAAGTGCAAAACAAAATTCCACAGTGTGGGCCAATTATCAGCACTACACCTGGTTCTGGGTGGGTTCCAAATAGGGGGGTATTAGGGGAATCGGTCTAAGCTCGTTGGTGGTATCCAAGCTCTATTCAGTGACCTGTGACATGAAGGAAAAAAAGAACATAAAGTTATATGAAAATAGGTTGGTTTCTGATTGCTAAGCGAGCAGGTTAACTCTTCAGAAGATCCATTCTTTGCACTGCATATATGAGGCGGTGAGGGGACACATTTTGCAGTGTTGTTTTATGGGAAAGTAAAGCTGAAGAGCTTATTATTAACATGCCTTCCAAAGTCTAGTGTTTGCATCAGATTTTAAATGTCTGACTGGATAATTTGTGAGAAAGTTTATCAGTAGCATGCAGGCATTTCAGCTTACATTTAGCATTTAGTTTGGTTTTAGCTGGCTCAGCACAGAATCTGCTGTGACAATAGGCTGTGCTAAAATAAAGCTTTGGTATAAGGTGATGTATGCGTGTGGCTTTTTTTTTTCTCTCTCGTTTTTTTTCCGTGGGCCATGAAGCGCACAGTGCCATCTCCCTTGGGCGTGCTCCTAACCAAGGGGGAATAGCCATTAGCATATGTTCCCCATTGTCAGGAGACAGTTTAAATCTTTGCTGTTAGTTTTCCATAGTGTAACAGTGAAATGAAAGAGGTCCTTAAGTGGACTAATTAGACAGTATTTCTATAGAGGATGTTGTGTAAGGACAACAGGGGCTCCCTTGCATTGTCTCTGCAAGTGTTTTAGGAGGGTTGTTAACCCTTCAGGATTTATAACACTGTGTGTGACACAGGCTGAGACGGTAAGTAGTTACAGCGTAGTGCAAGCTGTGAACTTCGCAGGTAGGTTTATATTCTAATGAAGTGTGTTGTGCATGTATGACAAATTGATGTGTAACTGTTTAATACATCATGTGTAGGGTAGAGTATTTTTGTGCCGCTTTCTGCTGTTTGACCTGGCAGAGATGCACTGGAGAACGAGACATGGAGCAAACTGAGGTCGTATAATGGTTACTGTACAGCTGCAAAGAGCCAGTTTCTGTTCCATGGCTTGGCTAAATGATGGCAGCAGTAGAGTCATCAGCTAGACCGACTTTACTGATTGCAAATGAATGCAAGATAACAACCTGCACGATTCTTCTGATTTGATGTATTCACAGCAATTATTACCTTTTGAGACACAGACAGGTACAGGCATCATGTGCAGATTGAAAGGTTCTTATATTTTCCTCTTTTACTTTGAGTTTCTAGAAGACTGGACGGACCAGTAAGAAAATTTAGCCTTCAACAATAGAAAGTTGTCATTCTTTCAGACTTCAGAGGTTTGGAACTTATGTTCTTTACAAAATAACAATAGTAGGGCCAAGAGCACTGAGCAAATTCAGTGAGTTTTACCTTCTTCCCAAAGCAGCTGTGATTTTTGTGAAACTATAGGGAGAACAGTAGTGAAGAAGCCAAGGTATGCATCAGTCTCGTAAGTTAGTGTACATGTTGGTGAGGCCTAGTGAGCAGTGTCTAGTGACGTCCTCTGGATGCCATTAAGCAGGCTCACTGGGGGTAATTGTCCAAGTCATTAAAAGTTTGATGATTTTGCTGCTGGGTGGAGGGTTGCCTGCCCTTGCTGTGGCTCATTTTGGATTTTGCTCCAGCACGTCAAATGCCTGTAGGCAAGCAGAGACTCTCTCTCACTTACTCTCCAGGGAGCAACACAGCACATAGCGCCTCTTTTTCAGCTTTCACTCAGTCCTGAAGTTCTGAGCAGTCATTGTTATATATTTTTTTAATTGATAAATATTTTTGACACTTAAAGAGTTTGTTAATAGACAATGGAAAGAACAGAAGAAAAGTGTTAAACTTAAGAGCCAGTGCATCTGCACTGTTTTCTTTGTTTAAGATGATACGTGGATTTATTAAAACTGTGATGCAGAAGCATGAAGTAGCACAAAGCGTTACAGACAGGTTGTACTTTGAGATGAATCTGTTATTTGTTGCATCATCTCTTTATTGTTTGGTGTGTGAAAGTCCAAAAGGAAAGTGGAAATAGTGCTTGTGTCCATTAATTAGCTGATCTCGTCTTGGTTTTAGACAGGGCAGCAGGTTTACTTAGAGCATATTGAACACAACACACTTTCTCAGTTACAGTTTTCAATAAACAGAACAAATTAATTATCCGTTAAATGCATCATTCTTGTTATTGATTAGAGATATTTCCAGGAAACCTACTTACATTTTGTTACCTTGCATGTCATCGTCTCCGCTAAACAGGATCCGTCACAGCTACTGTAGGTTTCAAGGTCAATCCCACCCACTGGATTAGCCCATTGTGCCTTCGAATGTCCACATAGGGTTCCTCGGGCTGTTCTCTCTCTCAGAGAGAGCTGATCCAGGCAGACAGTCACAGTGGCCCTGGCTCATCTCCTAAGCCCACACACTCTGCCACTGCGGAGCCAGGGCAGCAGCCACAGGGCCTGGGTCACTCTGCCAGCTGGTGCCAGACTTCACTGTCTCTGTAGCCCTCTCTCATGTCTGCCATGGGGGCTGTCAGAGGTGACATGAGGTTCTAATAAGGCCGCTAGCTCCTCACCCCTCTGAAGGTGTTAGTGACTCAGGCATCTCCTGCCATGCTCCAGTCACAGCTGCACTCTCAGTCCCAGATGTCTTGTTTGTCATCTTGGCACCTCTGCCTGCGGACAGACATTGATAGACCATTTGATTGACAAGTCAGTTCAGTGTGAATGTGTGTATTGGAGTTTGTTGTAGCATATGCTGTTATATGCTACACAAGTTTCCGTGGCAGAGCCTGTCTTGTGAATGTTGAAGACAATAAAACATAAACCAAATACAGCAGTAAAACGTGACAGACCCATGCTTGTATGTTTACACTAAAGGTCTATACGTTGTGCAGTTAAACTTTCCATTGCATTTTACCAGCTAAGCAGGTCTATAATTATTTTTAACAAACAGGCCACTGTATTGCTGATGAGACCAAATTTACTTGTTGCCGTTCATATGCAGTTTTTTAAATTTACCCCTCGAGTATGATTTTGTCCATTCCAAAGAAGGTTTCCCCATTACCTGAACTTGCTATCGCTTAGGGAAAGATAGAACTGCAGCAGCATTTAGTTTGGTCTGCTATAAAAATATAAAAAATAAAAAGTAAATTACCTACCTCAATTAAAGCTCTATAAACATAGGTTGTGGTGGTGGGGCTCTTGGGAAGAAGGTAGAAATGCAGAAAGTGTGAATTGAGAGTGGAATTACTACTTTATCTAGACTTTGAGAGAGCTTCTTAAAACATCAGAGAGTTTTCAGTGTGGCAGAGGCTCACTGATCTGCTGGGTATTGTGTGAGCTGTTAAAATGACCTTAGCAAGCCTAGAAAGCTGGGATCACTTAAATGTGTTGGAAGTTTAAATGTGGCCTGTCTTTTTTCGCCACGGCATACGACTTTTGTGAAAAACTGTAAGATGCACTGGTACAGTGTCGTGTAGAATTTTACAATACTGAGGCTAATCCTGTCGCTGTGAATTACATGAATTAGTCAGGGAGTTAGACTAAATTTGCACCACATCTTACTGCAGGAGCGATTCGAAAAAATGCTAAAACCGCATCGAGTGTGTTTGTGGGTGTATTTGACTCGGTGAAGCATAGGAAAGCTTTGCCATTGAACCTCCCACTTGACCTCAAGGATGTCTGTGGTTTTCCACTGTCGCACCAGTCACCCCAGAAATGATGGGGGTGGATTGAGGTTTGTGCATTTGTGAATGCTGGTCCATATGCCCCAAACCTTTTTTCTGTTTTTTTTTGTCCTTTGCGTTGTGACCCATCAAATTTAGATGGACGTCTTACATGTTCTAACAAAAGGATAAAAATAGGGCAATCAGTTACAAAATAACCTAAGTGTGTATGTACAGAAGAATAATATGCTTGTCACATTTTAATGGAAGTGTGAGCAGTAGCTAGCCCTTGTAGAGTTACTCTGTCTGTGGCTGGGGCAAGGACCAGGTCTCAGTACTGCTGCTGAGGTTGAAATGAAGCGATGCCTGGGTCAGCAGCTCTGCACTCAGCACAGCCATGCATCCAGGTGGAACAAAGTCTTCGCTCAGCATCTCATCCTGCGCTTCCTGCTGAAAGGTGACATCTCCATGGCTTAACAGCCACATTCATCTGCTAAAAAGCATACAATTTGTTAATCGTTTTCCCGCGTGACAGTCGCTGCTTTCCAGTTGGTTAGGCAAACAAATACGCAAGCGGGTAAATGAGCGAGTGGGCATCGCTGGTGTTTAATCAGAGGAGACTAGTATCAGGTGGTTACAACTCCAACTAGATAGAAAGAGGCTGGTTCCGGCTTGATCCCCCACTGTGTGTCCATCTTGAGAAAATGCTTTTTCCCCCCTGTCAGCCAAACCCACTCAAACACTCTGTAACTGTGATTTGTAAGGAAACATGTTATTTGGTTCAGCTTCTCCTGTACTTAAACCTTGTGATTTTAAGAAATTTCATGTTAGAATTTTGTTTTGTCATATGAGCTTGAATAAAATTTGTGCAGTGAAAAGAAAATGACAGCAGGACAGGCTCCGGTGTGTCTATAACAGGAATAATGATCCAGTGTAATTACCTGTAGCGTGGAAGATTTAAAATTCATTTATCACAGCTGTAGTGACCCCGCTGCCTTAGCGGTTACACATACACTATGCAACACATAAGATTATACTGCATTATACCAGTTAAAATGAGGGTATAGCCGCGAGCTGTGACCAATTAAAGTTGAACAAAGCAAGCTCATCTCCTCAACTCCTCTCTTAGTAGGTCAGTAAAACTGATGGAGGATATAGACCCCGTGCACTGCTTTGTAAGACGGAAAGCTCTGAGCGCAGCTTTTACTAGCACATTCTCAAGCCACAATTTGACAAGACATATGCTGTGAAAAGTCAGATTAAAAAAAAGCAACGCATTTCCAAAACAGATTTCTGCACACAAGCGAGACAACGGCTGTATTTGTGTCCAGTTTCCTCACTAATAATGTTTTTAGTTTGAGAAATGAGTGTAGCTTACTGTAAAGAGGTAGTGTAACATAATGACACATGTGAATTGGTGTGAGTGACCACAGAGACAGAGCTGCAGAGCTACAGGACAGAAAGTCACTTTGCAGAGGGTTGCGTTACCATTGGAGTGATGTATGACCCAAAGTCCCATCTGAGGGCTCGTGTTACAAGGCTTATGCTGCACTACAGAGATAGCTTTCCGTATATGGAGACAGGGGCTACAGTAATGTATGGACCCCTGTTGTTGCCAAAGCTCTGACTCAGCTCGCTGACTCGTGGCTCTAACCCTGACCTCTGGCCTGATAACTAGACATTTCAGATATGCACTATGTTATTTCAGTTGTTACTAAAGCAGAAATGAATTTGTTATCTGTCACCTTGTTTACAGCAGTGTTGTTGCCTTTCTTATCTTGTGTTACCATGCTTGTTTCTGATGTTTTTTTTCTACTATACATCTCTGCTGCAGTTCACTCAAGTGTTGTATTTATGTTGCAATATCAGCTATTTAGCACATGGACAGTTTACATACAAACATTCCTTTATAAGATCCACCTGGATCGATTATACGCTGCTTACAGGGCTTAATGCAGAAGTATCTAGCAGTTTTACAGACAACACTGACAGTGGCTATTATTATTATTGTTGATAGTACTTCTCTGCATTTACGTGAAGATTTTAAATGTATTTCAAAAAAATATGTAAATGCCCCTTTTACCACTAATAATCACACAGCAACTGCTGACTACAGCTTTTCGTTGTAATGAGAATGCTAAAGTGCAAATTAAACCAAACTGTGTGTACAAATAAAAATGTTCTCCGTTGGCTGCTTTCTGTGTTTCCTCAGGTTACCTTCACAAAGAGGAAGTTTGGCTTGATGAAAAAGGCCTATGAGCTGAGCGTACTATGTGACTGTGAGATCGCCCTCATCATTTTCAACAGCTCTAACAAACTGTTCCAGTACGCCAGCACAGACATGGACAAAGTGTTGCTGAAATACACAGAGTACAACGAGCCCCACGAGAGCAGAACCAACTCTGACATTGTAGAGGTGAGCAAGCACCGCTTTCTTAATTTGCAATAAAAAACTTCTTTCACACCATGCCATTTTAACCTCACACTGAGCATGTAGTTTATCTTCCTTTTGCTTTTTTATACAAAACATATCCTCGGGTTTATGCAGGCTAAATTATTTTATTGGTTGGCTTCCACTTTAAAAGACGTATGTATTCTTTGATAACCATTGGCTTGGTTTGTAAGTGCTGTCAGGAACAAATAGCAGTTTCCTTCTAGTCACCATTCAGATAGGGCACAGGAGGTCTGCACTCTCTGATAAGTTCAGCTTCTCGTAGGCCCATCAACTGACGTGGAAAACCTGTCTCTGCACACTCATGCACACAGTAGCTGCCGACCACCATTGCTGACCTTGTTTCCCATAGATACTGTACCTGCAAGGCACAGCTCTCTGGCTACTCCTCAGTACACACAGTTAGCTTGCCCAATGCTGCAGTATTTTTTTTCAGAGAAATACAGTGTTTAGTACATTCCATACAGCTTTATAAAACTCAACAAGCACTTGGGTTTCCTGGCAGCTCCTGCATGCCCAGCAACTAGCGGAAGAGTAAGCCACTTGTTATGCCAGCATACAAAACTGTCAGCCAAAAGCGTAAAAGCCAAAGTAAATGAGAATAATTAGGGATACATCCTGTTCCAAACATCTTGCATTGGCACATGTGTGGTTTCTCAGCTTATTCAAGATCTGCTTTAAGAGGCCGGTATCTTCATTCTGACTAGATGAAAGCACACACAATGTATGTTAATGCCTATTGATGGAATCCACACTCTCAGTATGAAGTTGCCCATTAATCTTTATTGCTATTATTTGAAATAGACTTAGATGATAATTTTCTGCAGCAAGACACTTTTTAATAGACCATGCAAACTGCTACATCCCAATTCTCTGTTTTTACTGCCACCTGCCCACTAAAACATATAGCATTTTTATTACTCCTGCACTATTAAGAGACATTAAGAGTTTAAAATGGGCCAGAATGGATAGAAAAAAAATCAAGAATGCCAGTTTAAAAAAGACTTTCACTTGGAGGAATTAGTGAAATTACATGCAGCATAAAGGAGTCAGCTGTGGCCCATTATCTTTTATTTATACTGCTGCTGCTTGTGAATTACCTGCTTGGCAGAGCTGCACAAGAGTGTTCTGGCATCCGTACACTCATGCAGTCACTCCTCCATCAGGGGCCCTCAGAGCAGAGCAAGGGCTCACCTGCATAAAAAATACATAAATACTTTCCTTACATAACAGTGACCACAGTTTTGCTTTTGCTGTGACTCTGGAGGCTGTCTTATTACAACGAAGACTTCCCGCAAACACCTTGCACTGAGAGTCATGGGATTTTTTTTCACCACGTATCAGCCGGGTCAATCCACACCACGCTCTCTATCTGTGGTCTGCACATGTATGTTTATGTGAACAGCTTGGTGTAATTGGAATGTACATTTTTTGGTTCTCCTGCTGATTTTCCCACCTAGTACTGCTGGCTGACCCCATCAAGCTGCCCCTCTGTATAAAAGGCGAGAACAAGCCACCGTTGTCCCGGCTCACTCGGCCAGCGTCTTTGCAGTTTATAACAAATGCCCCTCTGCCTGCAAGCTGTGTGGTCAGGGTTCAGATGTGAAACAGAGCTGAAGTAACCAACCCAGTCCACTTAACAGCATCAACACACTGTCTCACTATTCATTCTTCAGAGAGCTGTGTCTGAGGAGCCTGATAGTGTGTGGAGGCTATGACCCAATCATAGACTGTATATATACATGTAGAAGATAGTTCTAGCCACTGTGACGTCACCCATGAACTCCCGTTTTGATGTGCCAGTTTTAGCATTATGACTGTCATTGTTTTAATCATCATCATTAGCCAGAAATGACCATATTTGATGGATTGCTAAGTTATTTGCTAATTCTAGCAAACGTACTAGAACTTACTAGAACTTCACTTAGCTTTCAACCAGGGGTGGATCTAGAGAAACTTTCTTAGAGTGGCATGGAAATCAGATGGGGTGGCAAAATCAAAGCCATTTCTTTACACATATGCATGTGTTACAATTTAAGCCACATGCCAACCCAGTAGATCCGCCCCTGCATTTAACACAATTATCCACAACTGAGCCGTGTTATTTGTTATGCAGTGGAGAGGCGTGTTTCACTAACTAGCTGCCTGGGTGGCTCTCACCTGTCAACAGCTCATAATACATACATTTAACAGTTTGTCATCCATCCATTTTCTTAATCATTTCTGGGTAGTGAGGGGGTGGGATCTATCTCAACTGTGATAGGGTGATGTAGAGGTTTCAGTCATAATGAAGGGGAAAATGAGCTTTTGAGGCCAAAACTGTGTTTACTTCCACTGTAAAAGTGGCCACTTCAGGAACTGCAGCTTTGTTTGCATTTCTGTGCTGGCTTTATTTTCCAGTCCAACAAGTTCCCGCTCAGATCTGATCATATTTTAAGAGAAAGCCTAATTTCAGCTGTTTTTTTTGACCGTCTTTGCTGGTGAGCACTTTCCCAGATTTTGTGCTTCACCACAGCTGTACAAATCCTTGTACACTACACAGAGGAGCTGATGCATTTATAATAATGGGAAGAATCCACCCCTTCCTCATTTATCTACTGAAATAGGCCTCACATGAGGGCACTTACACGGGACACTTATCTAAATTTTTAAATTGTGTTAAACAAGTCTTTGCTATAAAAACAGCCATGTGCTCATTTGTCCTGTTTTGGAGGAAAGAAAAATGCTCACCCACTTTTCATTGGTAAGACCTTTCCATGTGAGAAACCAAATCAAAGGTCACATTCTTGCTCAGTAGTACCATCTGTAGATAAAGGCTGGGCTGTGCAGTGTGGGAGAACAGTCTCCATGTTTTCCACAGATGGATGCATGCCTTGGCCACAGTTTGATAACCCAGTGGAGGGCTATGGACTTTGTCTCAAACTTGGCTCGCAGTCCAAAGCAGAGCAGTAGGCTCAGATTTTTCTACCCTGGTTGTGTGTGTGTGTGTGTGTTTTGGTAGTTCTTGTCTGCATGTGCTAACCTTACCGTCACTCCAGGCGAGGGTGAGCAGTGGTGTAAAATCTGTCTTTTTATGAATTCACCTGTGTGCATCAAACAAACCTTTCACCGCTTTTACTATTAAAGACAGGTGGGTGTTTTTATACAAGCTACTGTTTTAATTTGTTAAATAAATAATTTTCCCAGAATCACATGGCCTGAGTGACTACCAGCAATGTCTCTTACTGTAAATAAAGACGACTTATTTAGCATTTATAGCTCATGTTGTCTCAGCGTATTCTCATGCATTAGGGTTATTCAATGTAACAGTGGACTAAGTCGGGTATTCCTGAATGAAGTTTCCATGGTGTTGTTTCTATTGTGTTACTTATTGAATTCTGTTTATTCCACAAATGAAAATGCTGCTGTTAGTCATTAGATTAATCTAATAATATTTAGTCTTACTCTCGTCTCAGCTTGTGGAGCTAATGAGATTTGTGCTCTGCTATAACCTCACGCTGTGTTTCTGCACACAGAAAGATCCCTGTGTCTCTCCAGGAGAAACCTTGAAATAAGATATTAACTTCACAGGCATAATTTGGCATCAATCTGTCCCCTATTTAAGCAATTCGATGCAATTAAGGTATATGGTATAGGTTAGCATTAATCAGAATTGCAGACACATGGAATAAACATTAATTGACACTTAATTCTAATCTGATGAAATCAAGGTTGTGAATAGACTATAATCAAATTTCAGGAATGCGCTCGGAGTGAAATACCGATACCTTTTAAATACCCGGAGAGTGCTATATGCAAAGAAGTGACTTTTTAGCGCTCCTTTTCATGTCTTTTACCCTGATGGTTTCTGAGAATAAACAGCGTGAGATCATTCATAGGGAAATTCTGCTTATCATACTCATAATAAAGAGAGATGGTCATTGTTATTGTGACTCGGGGAGAAAGGGACAATTCCTTCTGTATTTATGAACGAGCAGTCCCCCCGTCTCACAAGACCAGTACAGTGAGAGGAAATGAGCACAGAATTATCAGGTAATTTCCATTAGGCTTTATTTCATGATCACTATGAACTTTTGTCATAAACTGAGCTGTATTAATAAGGTATGTAAATGTTGACCATTACTGAATGTCACACATTGTGTGCTGTAGATTTCGCGACGACAAAAGCTACGCATGCATTTATCACAATTCAAGGTTTAATTTCTCCTCATTCTGCGTGTTACACTTTAAATGATGGAGACGATCATTGCATTAAGTGATGAGCTGTGCCTCGCAAGTGGTTTTTTTTTCTGTGATTTACAGCTCAAAGCAAAATAAATATTATTACCAGTTATAGAATGAATCCCTTGAAAAGCTTTGGGCTGAATGGGCACCGGGAGTTTCAGACAGGAGATATTTATGTTCGTCAATCAAAGGCTGAGCAGTGATTAAGGCTCATTTCTATCCTAATGAATGCAAATTGGCACATCTGCTATGGTGGTCTAGCTGTCCAGACTCTTCAATTAGCATGATTGATCAATTATCCTCCTGCTGGTGGCTCATTGGAAATGGAGGCTGGGGAATGGGCCGGGGGTGTATGGATGGGGGGATTAAGGAAGAGAGATGGAAGAACAAGCAGAAAACTGTCTTAAGCCTCCATTCAGTGAATGCGATTTCTTATTTATTACTTTATGAGAGTGGAGAAATAGCGGAGAGTCCTTTTACTCAAAGAAGGCTTCTTTTTTACAGACATTTCTTAAAAATGAACGCTTCAAACTACACTTGAAAAAGCTGTGATTTTTATCTTTGAACGACTTCTTTTTGACAGAATAAATAATTTCCAAAGAGCTGATCAGAGAGATCAGATCAGGTGCTCAGATTAAAATTGAAAAAATATATTACTTTAGCAAATGTGTTAACAAAGTCAGGCTGTGGCTCCGGCTTTGTTTAATACTTTATTTGTTTTACATGGGGAAAAAAAAGCC